GAGAGTTGTCCTGCTGACAGCCTGAAAGGGCACCGATGGGGGGGGGGGGTGAGAGAGAGAGACTCTTGAGCTCTTTTATATAATTTCTTTCCAATGTTCTGTTGTGTTGAGGAGGAAAACAAGTGAGGAAAAGCTGCAAAGCTTGGCTACTGGAATTTTTTCCCAGTCATAACTGACCACAGGAGGTCTTGGGGAACGAAATAACATGGGGGTGGGAAATCACACCAGCTTCTGAGACGGCATTAAGCATTATCCAGACTCCTGCTGGGGTTATCTTCACCGTCAAGAGATAAACATGAAATGAAATTCCACAGCCAATACCTCTCTCTATCACTTTTCTGTTCTCCTCAAGAATTACAGCACCCAGTGGAATCACTCTTCTCGAAAGAGGAGCCTTGGCGTTCAATTCTCGATTCTCCAAGCAGCTTGTTGCCATGATGTAATAAAATTACTCAGTGCTATGTTAGCTCCATGGGATTTTTGTCTTCTTCCCCATAAGAGATGAGAAGAAAACAAAGAAAATACTTAAGAGAATAGTATAAGATTCTCTTTGTCTGAAATATTCAAACAGCGGATGAGATATGCCTACTTACATTCTAGGGAATTTAAATACTGCATTTGCACTACATTGGAGTTTTCCTACATTGTACTGCATTTGAGCTTTTCAGCTCCAAGAGGCTGTAAAAACAGTTAACTGGGTATTTCTAGGCATTGTTCAATTTTAATTCTACCTATATACCATTTGTGAATATTCGGCCTTTTGGAGAAAGAACGTTTGTTTTCTGATAACATATGAGACAGTTACTCATACAATATTCAGCCAAAGCATATGTAGCACTGAAATTCTCTGGGTTTTGTTACTACTTAAATCTGTGATAATAGAAGGGAAACCTTTGATAAAATGGGTAAACTCCACTTACTTGCCATGTTCCTCTAAAACTCGCAGCATTGTAAGACATCCTAGCTCTTTCAACTACATATGACCAGCACAGACACCTTCATTTCTAATAAAGTATTGTATTAAACTCCTCCTCCAGAAAAGCAGACTAGAGAGTCTGCCCTATCTAGGCACTTCTAAAGAATTCAGATTGTTTGCCAAAATCCAAAATCCAGTACCTACCTAAGGCCATTGGAAACATCAATCATTTTGCATGTCTATGTTCAGAACTTATCCTAGATTACCTTACTTGTTCATAATACAGCTTTGGATATCTATGTATCTCTCTAGATCTCGATCAGTTGAGTGACTGGTTGATCGATTGATTGAGATATAGGTAAAGGTATTTGGCTTTAATCAAGCACAGTAAAAAAGGGGGGGGGGATGTCCTTTAGTGCATCTTCAGTGCTTTGTGCAGGTAAAGGTTTAACCAGAAATCAGTTTCAGAGCAATTCTGGTATAAATGCTTATGGAAAAGGGAATCTCCTTGATAATAGGTTTGCTGTTGTCTCAGTGCAATCCTGAACAGGTAGGTGGACTTAACTGTAAGTCTAGGAGAGCAAAAGCCCCTATTTTCCATGCCATTCACAATTTATTTCTTGCTGTCCTGTCCTGTCATGCAACTTGGTGCCTGTTCATGCTTCCTTCTCTCAGTGCTCCCAGGGTTAGGGTTATGGGCAGAATTTTCCTACTTTAAGATTCAACCAGGGCTTCCAACATGATACATTATTCATCACAAATATCTTTCATCCTCCAGCTCACAGCCAGCTTTGGGCATAACTACTCAATCAGTCTCAAAATCAGCCATGCAGAATACAAACGAAGATGAGTTTGATGGATGTGAAGGATGGTCTGCTAAGGTCCCACCATTCCAGCACTTTACAAGGTGAAGCTGGTGCCACCAGAAATAGGATGTGAAATGTCAATAAAGATTGGTTTAAACCAAGGCTTGGAAAACACGGTGCAGTAAAAAAAAGGGTCACAAAGCTACATATTTTAAAGTATAATCCAAAAAGGAAAGGCAACAAGTAATCATTATTTATGATAC